AATTATTGTGGTGGTGGTGGTGGTGGTGGTGGTGGTACTACTACTACTACTACTACTACTACTACTACTACTACTACTACTACTACTACTACTACTACTACTACTACTACTACTAATAATAATAATAATAATAATAATAATAATAATAATAATAATAATAATAATAATAATAATAATAATAATAATAATAATAATAATATAAAAGCAAGAATCCTTTTACTGCTTTTCAGGAAGCAGTAAGAGGCATCTAAAAATAATTACTGGATGAGAAGAGGGCTTTTTAAAAAACACACACAGAAATTATAACCTTAAAAATCCTTGTCTACCCTTCTCCAAATTTAGCACAGAGCAAGCCCATATGGGCTACAATCACTCTACCAAATGCGGTCTTCATTCAACAACCCGTTCAAAAGTTGTAACGTTTTGTTTTGTTTGTCTTCGTCCCCCATGAGTAATGGCTTATGGAATACGGTTTTGACCAGTTAAGCAATCATTTATTTGGCCATTATTGTAGTAAAAACTTTGTTTCTTCTGCACAATCAAGGGAGAAAGGAAGTGGTGGAGATGGGAAGAAAACTACGTAGACCACATACACATTGTTCCCTGAAAAAGACTTTACTCTTTCCAAATTACATTATGTCATATCACTTGGAGTATAATGCTCTTACAGGAATACAAGACACCATAATGAGAAATACAGCAGATGTCTGCACTGCACAGCAAAAGCCATATAGGAAGAAGGTCTTAAAATGGCTGCTACACTAGCCTGGAGAGATAATAACTGCACATCACTCATTGCAGGGACATCAGATCTAATCTAGTCACCGATCATTTTTGAGATGCACATTTTGGTTCACGTACATGTTGCATGGTATGTCAAAGACATCACAAAATGGAGCTGTATTGAAATGAGGCAAGCAAGACATCTATACAATGTATGAAGATGCTTTAAGCTGATGGTTAGCGCTCACAAGCAAAATGCTCAACAAGAGACCAGAGCAGAGGGACTTTGTCTTCGGAATCACACAAGGGCGAGGGAGGGGGTATAGGAAAATTACATGGCAGGTGCTCGCAGTGGGTCTGGCCTGGGTTTCAGTTAATCCTGTGCACAGTCCTGTACATCACTTGGCTTCTCTCGGGAGAGACGTGCAAGTTACCTTATCAAACAACATATGAAATTCTCCTTTAAAGGTTGCCTCTTTGAGTGCTGTGTACGTTTACTGGGTTAGTTGAAATCACTGGTCAGAAAAAAACCCAGTATGCTGAACTAATTCTCAGTTTATTAACAGCAGCTAGAATTAGGATAGTTCAGACTGTGGAAGAAAGCAACAATTCTGAAAGCTTATGAGGGATGGCTAATATGAATGAGTGAATGGGTCTAATTCTCTTCTGCTAATTTGGCACTTATTTCTGAGTTTAAATCAAATATTTTGTTCATTAAATATTTTGATCATTTTGCCAAAGATCAACAAACGTTCACATAAGAAATATAATGGACTAGTATATTCAGACCTCTGTAAATGCAAAACACCTGTTCTTTTTCATGGAGAAGACAATGGGTCTGTGTCAAAAGACAGGAAACTGTGCAAAGGTTTCACCTGAAGGTCAAATCAGACACCGTAGTCAGCACATTGGGAGAAAACACGTTAGGGTTTTAGTGACCCCCAGGTCCCTGACTGAGGAATCAGAATGCACGCGAAGCATTCTTATGACCCATCACAAAACAGATTGTTTTGGGAGCTATGGGAGATCGGGAAAACTCAAAGGACAGTTTTGAATACTGCCTTTTTTGAACGCCTTCTTACAATATGCTTTCTGCAGTGGCTAATTTGGCACCCAGGCAACAGATTCCAACCATATGCCCATGTGGCAAAATAGATACCTAAGTATTTGTCACATGTAGACCAGAATCCTGTTGCTGTGTGTAAGGGAAATTGTGTAAGTCTTGGTAGCAAATTACAGCTCATTATCATTGCTTTCCTATATGCATAAGTGGGCGCATGCCTAGGAATACAAACAGCATCTTTTTAATGAGAGGCAACTTGACACCAAGACTACAGCTTGCACTGAAGTACTGGTTGCCTACCACACATACACATAGCAAATTATAGCTAGATTCCTATTGTGACTTAGATTTGTGTAGGAGAAATTGCATAATTTCTGCTGAACAAGTGTAAATTGTAATAGGATTCTGGCCATAATTTGCCATGTGTATGTGTGGTAGGCAACTACCACCCCATGCAAACTTTATTCATTTCCTTGCCTCTTACCTGCATCCTCTTAATCTATTTCTGGAAGTAGTTGTAGGAAATATGGCCATGCCATCCCCCACATGCCACATTACTTCTGGAAGATAAGCTAGATTAAGCCTGGTTAATAATTGGTCAACATAGAATTTTAGGTGCTGTATTGATCAATTGCAGTGGCTCAGTGTTTGAGCATATAATTTGCATACAGAACATCTCACTTCTCATTTCTAAGTAGGTTTAGGAAAGCATCTTGCCTGAAACCCAGTCGATTCCCTCTAAACTGAGAATACAGCATGTCGAGATGGGATAACCTGTGTGAGTTGGTGGTATAAGGCAGCTTCCTAGGTGCTCTGATATTCCCAAACACATTATTTTTGCAGTATCCAGAACAGACAGTAGTTACATTTATTTCCTCCAAAGTGGCAACTCTGAATCAAGACTACTTCCTGGGATTCGGCTAGGAATGGGATCAATTTCAAACATAAAAAAGCTTGCTGCAAAACCTGTACCTAGTTCTGAAAAATGTGTGCCAAGTTCTGAAACATTTCTAAAGCCCAGAGGCTATATTTATTCTTTTCCATCAGAATTGATCAGAGGCAGCCAAATGAACAGACCTGGTGGTGGATGCTTGCATACCTCTTCTAGGGGCCAAACCCGATGTAACTCCATGGAACTGAATCCCATGTTTGGGACTAAATCCATTGCTTTTTCTGTTGAAAGCAGACACAGAGACCCCACAGGCTGCATCACTGTGAGAAGAGGAGAGATTTAGTCCACCCCTTGGCAAAGCTTTGCCAGCACTTTTTGCTGCAAATGTTTTTAAAAAATGCAATAAAAAATAAAATACAATAAACCAGGCCACTTTTTGGGGGAGGGAGGAAGGAAGGAAAACGGTGTGTGGGTGTGCTTTTCCTCCGCTCTTCTGATCCGCGTTGTACACCCTCTGTCACCTCACAGGTACAATTAAAGCCACACCTGGCTGGGCCCTGACTAGCTGATATGCCGCGAAAGAGCAGGAATGGTGATCAGTATTGTTATTCCCCATATGTGGGCTAAAAGTTCAGGTTAGATTGCAGCTGGATATTCTTGGGGATCTGAGAGCCCAGTAGTTCTATCTTGGGCAGGATGGGGTAGACAGCATTGCTGGTGCTCAGAGAATTCATATTGATGTTGTACTCCTGAACACTTCCTGCTTCTAATCCACCTTCCTTCTTGGTGCTTCCTCCTGTTTTCTGTGAGACTGAGCTTCCTTGGCTGAGTTGCTCTTGCTGCAGGCAAGGAAAAGGGAGAAAAGACTTATCCAGAGGTTTAGAAAAGGGAGTGGTGAGTCAAGGGCTTGCAAGGTCCCCCATTCCTCCAACATTACATACATGGTAGTAAATTAGATGCTCAGACCCTCTCATTTGTCAAAATAATAATAGCCAAAAGTTCTTCCTTTCAGGAGAATGAACTGATCACCAACAGTGCATCCCAGGAACGGCCAACTTTGGCAGGCCCTAGGGGCCCTCTGCCATTCCTTAGAACTTGTGGCAGGCTCCGAACTATCCCCTCATATTGCATCTGGAATGGGCTCGAAACTCCCTTCTGATTTCATATAAAAAGGTAATTTTCACAGAAAGCAAGGGGTGTGAGGGTAGCATGTCTTGGTTTAAGGGGATTTGTACTAGACATGCACAGCAAACATTCTCATATGCCTTTCATTTTGGGTTCTTTCAGGGGGTACATCATTGGTCTTCTTTCACTTTTCATGTACTGGTCTGGTCTTTTTGTTTTATACTAAGAGGAAATCCTTCCTCAGGCCATTTGTTTGACACACACACACACACACACACACACACACACACACCTTCCAATTATATGATTCTACTAGAATACTTCCGTTTCTGAGTCCAAGTTGCAATATATGGAGGTGATCTAATCTAAGACCCTCACCACTTAATGTAGGGTTTGTAGTGCAAAAAGTAGCTATGTTGGCCTCCTAGCTCCTGCTTAAATACCTCAATCACTGGGTCCTTGTTCTTTAGATTGCTTCTTTCCAGACCCTCCAGTTTAACAACCAGGGCTTCAGTCGTGGGTATGATACTACCAATGGAATGCTCCAACTGTAGCACTCGCTGCAGAAGTCTGTGAAAGACAGCAAGAATATTTGGAAATCCTCTTTAATGGTATGACGCAAGATTTGCTACAAGGCAAGGAAGTAGGCTAGTTCTACATGGCTCAGGTAAAGATAGTCGTTACATGGCTTGTGTCAGTGAATTGTTTGGTTACTTCTGTGTACTGGATAGTTATTACTAGAAACAGAATTTAAACCTTGATTCTGATGGATCTGTTTCAGACTGATGAACTCAGACTAATGGACAAATCCAGATACGGAGATTCACAGAGTTGGTTGTACCTTTAGAAAGAGTGAAGTTGTTGTTTCAGATAGATTTGGGGAGTCCAGATATGACAGGAAATTGTTGATTATTTAATATAATATTGCATTCTATTTTCCAGCTAGAAATGTTCCAAATGATTTTTGAGACTTTATACCCCTTACCTTGGTTGGATGGCACTATTATTGACTCAACCTGTCTTAAACCAGTCCTGTACATGAACATATCAACTTTTTCGACTTTCAGATGTGTGTCTATCTGCCCTGCATTATTTCAATGGGATGATGATGATGATGATGGTGATGATGATGATGATGATGATGATGATGATGATGATGATGATGATGATGATTATAGCAGATTCAAGTTTTAACCCAAAACATATCTGTTAAATATCAGTGCAGTATGTGTGCTGTTCCTAATATTGCCATTTTTTGGCAGCTCTGATGGTGTGATTTTTGAGATCTGCAACTGCTTATAGTACTGTGCAAAATTTCTTGATATTGTTCCCAGTATTAAAGAATACCAAGCACCGTCAATCAAAATGATAAAAATATTGACTGGTATTACCGTATTTTTCCATCTGTAATGGTTTTAGGAAAATCATTATAGATGGAAAAATACGGTAATACCAGTCAATATTTTTATCATTTTGATTGACGGTGCTTGGTATTCTTTAATACTGGGAACAATATCAAGAAATTTTCCTAAAATCATTACCCTAAAAATTGAGGGGCGTCTTTTATACGGAGGTAAGCTGAGATAACTGAAGAGAGAACAAAACGGCACATACTGTATTTTTCTGTGTATAAAACAACACTTTTTCCTAAAATAATTAGAGCAAAAATTGAGGGTCGTTTTATACACAGAAGTAAGGAGCGGGGAAGGATCAAAGTGCTTTGATCCCTGCTTTCTCCCTCCATGTTTTGCAAAGAAAGTGGAGGGAGAAAGTGATTCCTGCTTTCCCCCTACACTTTCTTTGCAAAGAGCTGCTTTCCCCCTCCACGTTTTGCAAAGAAAGTAGAGGTAGAAAGCGTGTTGATCCCTGCTTTCCCCTCCACATTTTGCAAAGAAAATGGAGGGGGAAAGCGACTCCTGCTTTGATCCGTGCCTTCCCTCTTCACTTTCTTGCAATGAAAGAAATTTTGGGTTAGAAAAGTGGGGGGTGTCTTATACATGGGGGCATCTTATATATGGAAAAAATATGGTACCTTGCCTCTGTAAACAGGCTTCCTTTGAGGCTTCGTTTCCTAAAGTCAGGAGACTTAGCTTCCTCCAGTCACGAGCCTTATGGAACTGACGTCAGCTGATCCTGAACAAACCAGTTGGAACACACCTCCTTGGAGGTAGAGTCTGTAGACTCAAGATTCAACAGAGATAAAATGTCCAACGTTCTGAGCCCAGAGGCTGAATCCTCAAAGCTAAATTTTCATAATTTTTGGGTTAGAAAATGGGGGGGGATGGCTGTCTTATAAATGGGGGCATGTTATAAATGAAAAAATACAGTATATAACAGATACCTAAAACTGTCTGGTGTGTTATGTGGAAAGTGTCTATCAGTTTAGATCTGGAAATCCCACAAGATCTTGACTTTGTCATTTTCTGATACCTTCTCTACCTGATGATCCCATGGGTTTTTGGAAGCTAGCAAGTTAAATTTTTTGCATGTTGTTGTTAATTCAATTTATATACTGCCTATCTAGCTACTTGGGTCACTCTGGGCAGTTCACAACAAAAGGAACAAACATTAAATCATAGTTGCATAAACGTGACAACTATTCAAAATTAAATAAATATAGCATCAATTAAACGAAAAACAACAGCAACATAAAACAATCAATAGAAGCAAGAAATTGGTGACTTAAGTGCTGAGTTAACCATTGCGCCCTGTAGATGTAAAGTCAGGGAAGGCCTGTTTATATAACCATGTTTTAAGATGTCTCTTGAAAATCCTCAGTGAAAGGTCTGGGCAAATTTGGGGTGGGAGGTTATTCCCTAAATGCAGTGCAGCCTCAGTGAGGGTCTGGGTCCCAGTCTTCTGAATGTATATGTGAATGCATGTCCAAAAAGGGACGCCCATCCCTATTCTAATGTAACCAGTTATGTCTTGGTATACGTGACCAAAGCTGCACTGTGAAAAGGATGCCCAACATACACAGTTGGAGCCTCATCTTTGTATTTTGCTACTGATATTTAAAGAAAAAAAAAACATATTGGAAAAGCTGAGTGGTCAAACCCTGTCTGCCAAATGTTTTTTTGCCCAAACTAGAGCTATGTATCAAAATAACTAAACAGTCCGGTGTCACTTTTAGAATGAACACGTTTGGCATAAGCTTTTGCAAAATGCCAAAGAGTCTTAAAAACACCATGGGCCTCTATTAGTTTTGGTGCAACTGACTAACAGGGCTGCCTCCCTGAAATTTATCATCAGGAAAGGCATTGTTATATTTGTTCTTCTCACTAATAGTTGGAAGTTTCCCAGGCTAAATGGGGACCTGACTGGATATATTGGGTAATGTAAGTGCTACAGTGCTACAGTGCTACAGCATGTGTACAGTAAGAGTTTACTGTTTTCCAATTTGGTCTCCAGGGGCTGGGCTTATCTAGTTCTAATCTAGATTTAACAAAGATGTATTTCACAAGAAAGTACTAAATGTTGCTGATGTTATGCTAGAAGAAAGATAATTGAAGATGATGTGCACATTACTGGCAAAGATTTTAAAAATCCACAGGTTGTGGGAGAGTCCTCTCAGCAGTATCATCTCTCACAGTGATATCTTCTTTTTGCCTTCTACGCTATAAATTTTTTGGTACCAACTGAACGCTTTCCATTCCCTGCATGCCTCTGGGTTTCTGTTTCTCTTTTTATTTCATACACGCAGGGGGTGCTAAGATTACATGGGATGAGGGAGATGAAATAAGTTTTGCAAAATCAACCAATCAACCAGGATCTTAATCTCTTTCTCCCTCTCTCTCTCTTTTCTCAGGGTACATACTATTCATGTGTTTTGATTTCTGTCTTTGATTAGTAATAAATTAAAATAAAAAGACTGACATTTGGAATGCTTCTTCAGACACCATGCTAGATTTGTTCACTTGATTGTTCTTTGCATCTGCAAAAGCAAGGGTGTCTTCCAAACTGTTGCTCTTGAATGATTTCCCGAGATTCTCAATTTCTGCATTTAATGCAATCTGCAAAATGAAAAGTGATTCATTATTTTGGCCCGTTTAGATGTTTTTTAAAACTCAGGATCGCAGTCAAAGTGTGCTTCATTCCTGCAGTGACATCCCAAAGTTGTGGGTTGAGTCACTCACTCTCGCAGGGACCATGGGCTGCTGCTATTTCTACCTCAATGCTTCTTTATTGTTCTTCATTGACTTATTGCAGGAAGAAAAATATCTGCTTTGTAGTGAGGATCTTGGCCATTTCAATGCTCTGACACCAATTATTCTAAGTGCAGGAACACATCCTTTAGGTGGATCATGAAATTTCTCAGCCTCATGAGTGCTTCCCAACCATCCCATTTGCTCTGATGATTTCTTATGCCACAACAGTACTTGAACTTCCCACCACCATCCCAACTCTACAACTTCCCATGGCTTCTCCCTCCTGATTCCTGTTTCTTCCTAGCTCATTAATATATTTCAGGTCCAAGAGCTACAAGGTACTGCTCATCCATCAACACCTCACCCAGAATCTAGAAATGTCTTCTTTGAGCCACAATTCCCAGAATCTACCACCCAGTTTGACCAACTTGACTGCCAGTTTTGGGAGTTGTAACCAGAATAAATCATGCTTCTAGGTTGTGATCTCACCTACAGCCTGAAGCCAATAATTTTGTCCGTCTTTCCATCCCTTTGCTCGCCATCTTCCTTAGCATAAATCCCAAAGAGAAACCTTCTCATCATATAAAGTATTGCTAAACACTGATCTTGCAACACGCCCTCAACATGTCACAGTCTAGGGACTTTGCAGTGCATATAAAATTGACCCCTTCCCCTTGATTCCTACTCTTTTCTCCTCCAAGTCATTTCGCATCCTCTTCTGCTCCTCCTCATCAAGAATCTGGTTACCGTCTTCATCAAACTTTGCAAAGGCTGCTGTGATCTCATGCTCAGCATGACCAAGCCTAAGGAAGGAAAGAATTGGGAGAGCCTGAGAAAGTGCTGTTTCAAAGGGAGGGCTCCTTGCATTGCCAAATCATTGCTTTTTCAAAGTCAACCAGAATTATAATGGGCTTTCTATACATTTTACCTCTTTTGGTATATATTCTGCTACATTCTGTTCACACCAGTGGGATGCGATATAGCTGGATTGTGGGGGGCGGGGAAGAGAATTCCTCCTTCCCCAGATGTATTTGCAGGCTCCCCAGAGAGGTTCTGATGTTTTAAAAATGTCTTTAAATAAGTTATTTTTCATGAATCATGAAGGGGGGGGGCTTTGCTCCATACTGTCATCTTTAAAAAGATAAAGGTAAAGGTTCCCCTTGACATTTTGTCCAGTCATGTCCGACTCTAGGGGGTGGTGCTCATCCCTGTTTCCAAGCCATAGAGCCAGTGTATTGTTCGCAGACAGTTTCCATGGTCACGTGGCCAGCGCGACTAGACACGGAATGCTGTTACCTTCCCACCATGGTGGTACCTATTTATCTACTTGCATTTTTACATGCTTTTAAACTGCTAGGTTGGCAGGAGCTGGGACAAGCGATGGGAGCTCACTGCATTGCGTGGATTCGAACTGCTGAGCTTTCGATCTTGCAGCCCAGAGGCTTTGCAGTTTAACCCGCAGTGCCACCATGTCCCACTGTCATCTTTACTACCAACATAAAGAGAACCTCACTCCTCCACCTTGCTTTATTCAGTGCTTTGAACTACAGATTTTTCTCTGTCAGAGTCTGATAACTGCCTTGTCCTTTCCAACCCCACCCCCCATGGATTTAAGACAAAGACTGGGTTGCAGAGCTACTGTGCCTATTCCTTGTCCTAATATTAAAAAGACAGCACGGTCAATTAAACCGCCCCTCAAAAGCAAAAAATCCCATTGCCGCTCCACTCAGCTGGTGTGTTTCCTCCCAGCTATAACTCATAATGACTTTAAAAGAAAACATCAGATTTTAGTAAAAAATGAAACTATGGAACCAATCCACCTTATTTTCAGCCTGTGAACAAGAGTGTTCCTGGATGGACAACTTGCTGCATGCTTCAGCCAGTGCTACTCCTTTGAAAATCAAATGCAGTTTTACTGTTGGAACTCTGCATTACTGTGATCAATCCATTATGTTTCTCTGCTTCATTGACGAAGTTACCCACTGTAAATTCTTCAGCTGCTCCCCCCTTGCCCCAGTTCCTCCCCAGCTATCTCTAAAGCATTACTGTCAGCATCCACTGTGTGGCTTCCTTCACTAATTCAGTACCCTGCCCAATCGCATCATTCCATTTTTACAGTATTCCCACTTACAAATCTATTTTCTTACACAAAAATTGTGTACTTTTATCTAACTTGCTTTCCTCTCTTTCTGAAATCTTTCTTCTTCCTGGCCTTTTCAGTTGGATGTCCCTCTCAGTGCCCCCCTCCATTCCAACTCTCTAGCATGAAAGCAATGCCTGGTGGCAGATCTCAGCGAAAAGTTGATGATCTCTTAAGCTATTAACCTTCTCAAGCTGTTCTTAAAATCCTCAAATTCTAGCTCTTTGGTCCCTTTTTGCAAAGCTTTTTGCACGTCAGAGATCCGGTCCTTTTTCAGCTTCAGCTTCATGAGTGTCTTGTTATAGCCCTGGAGTTAAACAAAAATGCAAAAGAAAAGTTAGACGGTGACATTCTCATACTGCCATGAACCAAAGAGGAGAAGAATTAGAATATATGAATGGTGGCAATAAATTCAAAAGGAAAAAAAATTGAATCTTCCTTCTGAAAAGGTCTATTTTTTTTTTCATGCCGGTACTGACGGTGCTCTGGGTGTCCTGGGGAGAGTGAAGGGGGCAGGTGTTCCACCTCCTTCTCTGTGAAAGGATTCTAGGTTTCAGTGGCTACATCTCCCAAGGGCCACTGGGGGCCTTAAGTGCTGACATGCTGCTGTGCTGTATCTGAGTCACTCAACAGCAAGAAGGGAGGAAAAAAACCTCTCCTTTCCCCTTTGGCTGCTGAGCACTGCTGTGGTTGGATCAGCAAAGGTGACAGAGTAGGGTAGGTGCCAATGACGAAAGACAGATTGGCTTGGAAATAACCACAAGGCAAACTGTTTCCCCAAATCCTGATCCCCGAGGCTTTTGGGGAAACACCCTACCTTATTTACAAGTCAGGGAGGTGGTGGCAGAACTCGCCAGTGTCTGTTCTAGAGCTGCCTATCAACCTTCCTGGTCCAGATCCATTGTCATATAAAAAGCTCAAGGCTCTTCCCTCCAATAGCTGTTTTACCCCCCCTGTACGTTCTCTTTGAGACACAACCACTCCATGGGCAAACCATCCCCAGTGATTTCTCCAGAGAAATCTGTTTTAAATGAATAGACAAACCTGCTTCAAGATGTCAGAGAGCTGCAATTCGTTCTTTTGGTTTGATAGTTCCTCTTTGACTTCAGAATAGGTGTCGTTGATGATAGCCAGGAACATGTTCTGTAGAAAGGAAAACAAAGGATCAGGCAGACCCATCCACAGGATTTAGATTAAGTGAGTACTTCTTTGTTCCATTCTATAGGTGAGAATGGGGCAGGTTGGTTACATGATTTGCTTGTTCAGGAAGTAGAAATGATGACTGAGGGTTTTTTTTCTTAACCTCCTTTGAGGAGTCAAATAACAAACAAGACAAAGCTGAAACTGGAGCGGACTGAAGGCCTATCCGCTTAAGCATTCCATCCTTCGTTGTCAGTCAGAGGTCTCTTGAAGTAATTGTCTCTTTTGTCTTGAGTCTGCCAGATGACAGAACCCAGGTCAAAAGGAGGCTCTTCAGAACAGAGTGCTTTTGTGTGGATGTTGAAAAGTTGTGAGAGGGGGAATAAGACAGAGCCCTTTAATATAAGTGCCATGGGCAGAGCAATAGTCCCTGGTGCACTGCCTTCTATAGTTAATTCAAAGTCTGAGCAAAATCACAGCAATACAATAACACATCTGAAACAATGCACAAATATTTGAGGTCATTGCCTAGTGCTAAGCAAATTAAGCCTTGCAGCAGATGGAGATCTGGTCCTCTCCGAACCTTTCAAAGTCATTATCCTGTTATCTTTCTTGGACAGGATTTCTATTTATTTATTTAAAATATGTTTATCTTGCCTTTCTCCTTAAAAAGAACCCAAGGATGACAAACTAAATGGAGGAATAATTCAGTATTCTCCTCATGCAGAATGTTAAACTAGTCCAAGCAATCTCTGTGAATGGGAAGCAATAAAAGAAGCCCAACAACTTACCAACAGCACAAAGAAGACAAAGAAGACATAGGTGACAAAGTATATAGGCCCCAAGATCCTGTTGGCATTGTCAATAGCGTTGTAGTCAAAGTCACCGAGGATGATTCGAAACTGGGTAAAGCTAAACCGCAGAAAGAGAGTGAAGTTGGGTGGCTCATTGAACACAGCAAAAATTATAAGTGACAAGTTCTACGATGGACATCCAAATGATCCTACCCCTCTATGACAATTTATCCTAATCTCAAGCAGGCTGATTACTATTGGAAGAATGCCACCTTTCATGCTTCTTCTTTGACAATAGGTGGTTGGGGGGGGCATGCTCTGTAACTTTCACTGACCTTAGAGTTCTTTTCCTGTGCCTCAGAATCTTTGAGGCCACCATTCCCTTCCTGTTGCTTCCTTTGTTAGCTGCCTTTCTCCTCTATTTTTCTCCAAAGATAGATGTGTGGAGATATTACTCCACAGTACATATGTAAAAGCACAAAGACACGATTTGGAAATAAAAGTTGTTTGATTCCTTTTACCCAGAACCATCCGGACTGATTATTTTTTTCTTTTCTGAGGGAAAAGGGCGAGACCGAGACTCTGTCTTAAAAAAGGGAATAAACAAATTCCAAATGCCTCCATGTACTTTCTCTTCTCACATCTCCCCCTTCTTGCAGCTGGTATCTCCAACATGTCCTTGAAGAGATTTTAGAAATCTTTATCTTTTAGTTTACAAGCCAGGATGCACACCCGGGGTATCCCTGAATTATGCAGAAGCTACCACTTCAGGTAGCCTTGTTTCTAAATATCATTTTTAAAAAATGTAACATCTAATATTTCATCAGTGTTGCCTGTTATTGCCCCTCTTCTTCACCTAAGGTGTCTTGAGAGGGTTTCTGTTTCTAACTGGAAAATAAAATCTTGCTGCTCCAGTGACAGCTATCTTTACAACAGACCAGAAAACCTATGAAGATATCCACCCTTTGTAGAGTGCCTAGAGAAGGGACGGACAGAGAAGGCACCCAAGGCTACTTTGGCTGCCCCAGATGTCTCCATTCTGGGGGGAGGGGAACCATAGCTTTTTTTTTTCTCGCAGAAGCCCTGAAGCCTTGTTGTTTTGCAATAAAAAGAATTGCAGGCCTTCCTAAGTCTCTGGTGCCTTCTGAAGTAGAAGGCTGGTCTCCAGGTTGTCTAGCATTTACCCACTCCTCTTAATCTAGAGCATACTAATACCAGTGCAATGGGGTGTGCTAACCACTACAGGAAATATGGATGGCTGTTCCCAGAAATCCTGGACGGTGGGAAAGCAAGGAATTCCTCATTGCTTTGAGTGGAATGGGACCATTGTATTCCAATTAAAGACAGAACAAATCTCCTTCTGGGCCTTTTACACAAAGAAAGTTAAGTGGCAATAGGGAACTTTTTGGGTTACTTTGGTGTGCTGGGTTGTGATAATGATGATAATTGTGGCTTTTCAGCACCCAACATATAAATTAATTTTTCAAAGTAGCAAAGTAACGGGTTTTGCCCGTTTAGTATCACAGATAGAGTTCCTGGCTGTAGAATGTAGAATTTTGTGGAGATGGGAGGGTGGGCATGCATGTGGTCTACAAACCATGGTTTCTTCATCCTTAGTGCTAGACATAACATTATACAGGTGGCAGAGCTTAATTATACCTTTTATGGGTATGGCTCATTGTCATCGCCATTGTTACGGGCTGAATCAATCATTTTCCTTTGGTTGTATGTGTGTCTTTTCCTTTCCTTTCCTTTCCTTTCCTTTCCTTTCCTTTCCTTTCCTTTCCTTTCCTTTCCTTTCCTTTCCTTTCCTTTCATTTGATGTTTTAATGATGAACAGAAGCAGTGTGGGAGACTGGGGTTCCCTCAAGTAAGATTCACATAATAGAATCATAAAGGTCTGCCCTTTCAATCTGGCATCCGATTTGCTCCTCACTCCTACATATGCCAACTTGCACAACCAGGCCTGCAATACACCATAAGTGGTCAGCTGGTGTGGCACCATACAATGCTGTGCTTGTCAGCCCATGTTTATGACCTATTGCCAAGGATTTAAGAGAAGGAGCTGAAGAGAAAGAGAGGGAGGGCACTCACATGCATTTAATGAAGGTGCTGAAGTTTTCCACTTGTGTCCCAAAAAGAAGGTATCCCAGTTGCGCATAGGCGAAAAAGACAATGAAGAACATGATGGCAAAGCCCAGGATATCCTTGGCACAGCGGGCTAATGTGGAGGAGAGCTGTGTCATCGTTTTGTTAAAGCTAATATATTTAAAAATCTAGATTAGGAGGGGAGGAAAAGACAGGCACGGGTTAAGGGTCAACGACTGATAATACTATACCTATATGGTTAAATTGGATGATGACAGCACATGTTTGGCAGTTACTGTCTGGCAGAGTGTCAGTTTTCGAGATCAAATGCACATGCCCCTCACCTGCCCCAACATCATTCTATGCGGTTGATGGTTTAAAAGACCAAGGTGTGTTGTACAATTCTTCCTGGTGGTGCTCTGATCAGAAACGGAACATAGTTCTCTTTTATTTTACTGAGATCGCTCCTGCATTTCTGGCTGCGTTCTGTCCCATCATTATAATAGCAATTGTAATTTACAGTCATGTGAGACTGAATTCTTTGAATTCTTATTTATAAGGACGTAATAAAAATCATCTAGAGCCAAATGTGAGGCCATCTCTCTGATAGCTAAAGCTTGGCCAAATATGGGTCACACAACAAGACAAGGATCCCAAGCACACCGGCAAATCTACAACAGAATGGCTGAAAAAGAAAAAGAATCCAGGAGTTGCAGTGGCCCAGTCAAAGTCCAGACCTCAACCCAATTGCAATGCTATGGCGGGACCTTACAAGAGCTGTGCCTAAACAAATGCCTGCAAACCTCAACGAACTCAAACAACGTTGTAAAGAAGAGTGGGCCAACATTTCTCTAGAACAATGTATGAGAGACAGATACATTCGTACAGAAAACGATTACTTCAGGTTATTGCTGCTAAAGGTGGTTCTACAAACTATTGAATAGAGATGGGGACAAAGGGATTTTCCCTGTCAGGCAGGCAGCCAGTCTTGCCAATCAGCTGTTTGGTGGGTGCATAGGGCAAGCCTGGCTGGCTGCCCAAAGGGAAGCACACACACCCTTTCTTTACAAACAGCAGCTGGGTTTCACTTCCGCCAGTCTAGCCTTCCCTCTCTGCCTATGCCCCTGAGGAACAGCTGATCCACAGGGGCATAGACAGAGAAGGAATCCCCTACACATGGACGAATATAAAACAGTTATATTCATCTCTTCATATTTGTCAGGGTCTCTGTAACTGATGAATACGAATGGATGCATATCCAACAAATCAGTGATATTCAACTAATATCGTGGTTCGTTTTTATATTCATCTCCATGTCTACTATTTAGTCATAAGATGTACTTAGTTTTTTACACATGGCTTCTCCATTTTGGCTTTATTTTTGTAAAATAATTCATGACATGGTATAATATGTCATATGTTGTTCATCTGAGGTTGTTTTCACATAGTTTTCAGAAAGAGGGTGTCCTTTCTCTTTCACATGGCTGTATAAAGCACATGAGAGGATATTAGAACAGCCATTCTCAAGAGGGGTCATGTGGCCCTCTGGGGGGTCTCTGTCACATTTGAAGCAGGTCACAGACTGGAAATAATTCTTCACACACCACTTTATGCAATTTGTTATGTGACTTATACAATCCTGATTTGGCCTATGTTTCTTTCATATTGCGTTTATGGCTTATGCAAAAAAAAGTTGAGAATGGCTGTGTTAGAATATTCAAATTTTTTCACCCAAATTATAATCCATGTGATGACCGTGCAGAGTAGTACTATGCTATTGTCCCCATACTGCAGAGAGGGTGAGAATGCTGAAACAAAGGGCAAAGTGCTACACCAAGACCTTATAGTGAGTTCAGAATACAGAAGCAGTATTCTGTCTGATTTTAATGTTGGCTACTCCTGGGCTCCCACTGAATAGCTATGAATTCCTTTCTTCTTCCTTTAGAATGGTTAACTGAGCCACTCCCCATCAATTTCCAGCCTCCTTTGGCCTTTTGTTTACATTTTTAGTGCTTCTGTTGAGGCTGAGGGCTCTTATTTCAAGTAATTAAAAAGTACTGTGCAACTATTCCATTTTTATTTTACTTTGCCAGATTTTCACTGGTAAAGAAATCAGAAAGAAAAAAAGGGCATTTTTTGGGGGGAGGCTGTATATTGAAGACTTTCTTACTTAGATCCCTCACAAACCTCAATGAATGGGGCATTCCAAGCATTATGACAGTATCATCTGGAAGTGCCTTTTTTAGTTCTGGAGCCTATTTTGGCTGACTTCCCTTCTTGTTATCTTTTATTTGTATCTGATGTCTTTTCGTTTTCCAATTTCCTCATTTCCTCCTAGCGAGAGGGAGGATGTCAGTCCTGAAATGGTAACTGCTTCCGTAAGCAGCTTGAAATGCTGATGAGGAGTAAAAAGAGCTAGTAAAGTACCTTGATCCAGGCAAAGAATAAGTTCACAGCATTCATATTGTTGTACTGGGTCTGCCAAAAAGCCAGAAACTCAAAGTCTGCATAGATGCTCGGGTTTCTCAGTAGCTGTCCCATCAATCGGTTCACTTCAATCGTACGAAAGATGTGGAATCCAATGGCTACAATAGAGAGCTGAGAAAACATTTGGGATTCAATGAAAATTCTACAGAGAAGAATGAATCAAAGTGGCAATGATCGCTCATTACTGTAGTGGGTGGGATCTCACGGCTGCGCAAGCCCAACCCTGGATCTTGAAAAATACATGCCTGCTCCTGTGCCCTGCCCACTCCCAAATATTTTTCTTTTAAAAACGGTTTTAAAAATGGAAAGAGCCCTCTTGAATCTCTAGCAGCCAAATAAAAAGAAATATTTTGGGGGGCTGTGGGGGAGAGCTACAAAGCATGGTAAAATTACATCTCCTTCACTCTTAAAAGCATAAGGGGACTTTTTGTGCAGCAGCAACAACAATTACTATTGTTCTGGGGGAGTGCAAGGAGGTGGGGGGAGGACAATTGGGCTCCTGGGAGTCCAACTGTGGTCCACAGGCTATATTTGCCCACATAGTGTACAGAACTGTCACACTCATTGAGCTTTTGTTTTGTGCAACTCAAGTGGAACTGTATTTGGGACAAAAAGAAACCAGAGCCTTTTTAGGCAATAAAAGTGTTGCTTGTAACTGATAGGTGATCAACAAAAAATACACATAATAAGGCCTGATTTCACCAGCCAAATGAACCCCAGTTATGATTATTTCCATACCTCTGTTGTATGAATTGCAATAACGTGGTATATATACCAGGGTAAACATTTCCATTTGTTTTAATGTTACCAATTCATTTCTTCCTATTTGAAATGTTATGGTCTGCACCGCTTATTTCCATCTCTGGTGGATAGCCCACCTTGCGCTCCTATCTAGATGTTGGGTCACTCACCACTCTGGTCCATGCGCTCATAATCTTGAGATTAGACCACTATAATGCTCTCTACGTGGGGCTGCCTTTGAGATCTATGAGGAAACTCCAGATGGTGCAGAATGCGGCGGCCAGACTTCTTAGTGGGGTAAGGAAATATCAACATATTACTCCCACTCTGGCCGCCTTGCACTGGCTGCCCATAAGGTTCCGCGTAGATTCCAAAGTTTTAAAGCTTACGTATAAAGCCCTAAACACTTTAGGGCCTCGTTACCTGATGGAACGCCTTCTCCCACCTAGGTCTACCTGTATCACCTGATCTAGCCAGGAGGTGAGACTGAGGAGCCTAATGCCAAGGAAGGACCAGAAGGAAAAAACAAGAAACCGGACCTTCTCGGCTGTGGTTCCTTGTCTTTGAATAGCCTCCCTCCTGAGATCCGTATGGCCCCTTCTCTGGGCATCTTCAAACGCCAACTGAAAACCTGGCTGTTCAAGCAAGCCTTTCCTCCATCCACCACCTGATTTTGTTCTCTGTGCCTTCTCCCATCTGAATCATTGTGCTTTTTTTTAGTAATATGCTGTGATGATTTTAAATTGTACTTAGATTTGATATGTTGTCACCCTCCCAGAGTAGTTGGTATGACTAGATGGGTGGGCTATAAATGTCAACAACAACAACAACAACAACAATAATAATATGACAGAGCATGTTGCCAGTGCTTACATGTCAGTCACAGAGACAAGACACAACTCCAGAGAAAGGAGCGTATCACTGTGTCTTGCAAATAATATTGCTCCTGGTGTGATAGAGCACTTAAACAGAGTCCCAGGAGTCCCCTTTTAAAGGATACAAGAAGACAAAACCTACCCTAAGGGGTTTATAATCTAAAACTCTGCACAAAGAAGATAAGAAAAGGGATATTGGCCAAAATCCTGTTGCCTAGTGTAATGTCACAGTAGAGTATGCCATTGAACCAATGATTTGGGGAGTCAGCTCCTCTGTAAGTTCAATAGATTCAAATGGGCTTGCTCTATTTGTGACTTACTTTAGCACTGTAAGTTACAGCTATGGTAGGCGTATTTGAACTTAGAGAACTCATGGAATTTATGGAGTTAACTCATTACATAATTGTGTCAATGGGCCTACTCTAGTGTGAAGTACTGCACTAAGCAACAGGATTTTTTGCCATTACGATAAACAAGAGAGAATATACAGTTGCATATATATTTTTAAATATTTTAAAATTACACTTAAACTATATATATAAGCAATTTTAAAACCTTGTGTTGGTTCTGTAAATAAATGTGAATGTCAACAAATAATGACTGATTTCATGACCAGCAATTTGCAAGATCTTAGCCAATCAATTACTTAATGCATGCTTCTTGGTCCAGTTTCCTTGAGTTTCCTCATTTGCCACTCCACCTCATCCTTTTATTTCTCTAATACTAATTGTAGAAAATCTTACCAATATGACAACTATATCCAAGATGTTCCAGATGCTTTTGAAGTACTGAAGCTTGTGAATCCGCAGCTCCAAGATCTCTTCTACAATGTAGTAGAAGATGAAGACACAGAAGACGATCTCACATGCAACAATGAAGAAATCCCAAGTGCTGACATACCGGAGAAGCTTTACAGTTCGAATCTGCCATGATGGGATGGCACCACCAGTGGCTGGGAATTCTACCACCAGCCTGGGTTGCAGGGAAAAAGGTGAAAGGAAAAATGCTGATGCTGCCTCATCTCTGGACATCCATCCAAATGGAATGTTACATCAAACATATCTCAAAGTACAGGACTAGGTGGCCCAATAATTTGACTTGACCCTGCCATGGCTGTAAAAATCTACAGTCTAAACATTCTGCCCTCTAGGCATGAATACCCTTTCTCTAAAACCATAAGATGTTTTGTTGTTACAGTGGTGCCTCGCTAGACGATGATAATCCTTTCCACTGAAATCGCTGTTTAGCGAAATCATTGTCTAGCGAAAAGCATTTCCCCATTGGAATGCATTGAAACCTGTTTAATGCGTTCCAATGGGGAAGAATCGTTGTCTAGCGAAGATCGGCCATAGGAAAGCCGCTTTGCAAACCGCCGATCAGCTGTTTAAATCGCTGTCTTGCAAAGCAAGACAGGTCCCAAAAACACCTGGGAGCAGAGGGAGCTGTCAAAATTGTCATCTAGCGAAAATCGGTTTGTGATGCAGGGACCAAACATTTGACTTAGCGAATACATTGGGCCAAACATTGTCCAGCGAAATTCCCCCATAGGAATCACTATTTTGTGAATCGCTATAGCAATCGCAAAAAGTCAGTGTCTACCAAAAAAAACTGTCATGCGGGGTAACTGTCTAGTGAGGCACCACTGTACTGTTTTATAAACCACACTGTTGCCACAATAGCAACAATAGGCAGCCTGAGGTCCAATTTTTTATCCTCAGGACCCTCCAGAAAAATGTAGGCGTGGGGAAGCCACTTCCAGTTTCCCCTCTCTCCTCTTTGGTTTTTGGAGAGTTTTGAGGGATCTGGGAGCTCCTACATTCAATTTGATACCACAAGGGCTCCTCCCCACAATTCTTTAAATTATTTGGCCTGTGGACCAGCTGGGGTTCTGGGTTGACCTCTATCTGAGTGAAAATTCCCTGTTTAAGTGCATTATTTGCCATAATTACTGTGTGTGCATGTGAGAGAGAAAGAGAGGCCACCCCAGCGGTTGGCAAATGTGGATCCTCAGTTCTGAGAAGTTGCCCATCCTTGCTATAGAGGATATTATCTTATCTTTTATATATGGGGGCCTCCCACAATTTTCTGTTAATTTGCTACAATGAGCAAATTAATAGACAACAAAGAAGGAAGAGATATGACAAATGGCATCATCCCTGTTAACCAAAGTGTCCCGATCCTTTGACCCTGAAAGCCGTAACCACACTACAAAATTTCATAGCAGTGAATTAAGAGATCCTTTTAGAATGCTATGTGATGACTAGAGAGGAAATCTGAAAGATGAGCAAAAACACTGTTTGATTGTATGTAACAGAGAAAGAGGAACAACAGCACCTACCTGAGCACACAGAAGAGATTAATGTTGGCATTATAGACAGAGAAATCAATGAAAACCACACGAGTTCCTCTATCCAGCCACAAATTCTCTTTCAAGACTTGGAGAGCTTCAGCACTTTCCTTCCGGGTCATTTCGAGATCTATATAATACCCTCCTCCACTGTAACTCGTTAATTTTCCCCAGTGAGAAGAGCCGTCCAGTTCTTCCTCTGTGTGATATTGCCACCTGCACAGGGAAAGATAGCCGATGGTGAAGAGTATGGAGAAAATGCAATCCAGGTGGTCTGAAACTAGCCCTACATTGTAAATAAATCCCTGCCCAAGAGGAGAAAGGGGTTTACTCAATACCTTCAGAGATACATAGAATTATATTTTTTTCCCACCAGGTCACTTTTTGAAAGTGCTTTGTGACACTGAGTTCAATTTTCTCCTTTCCCAATTTATTCTGATTCTAATGAGGTGTATGCAGTCATGGGATAAGGTACATTCACCCAAACTGCCTTGTCCCATCTTCTCTCTCACACAGGCACACATTTGATTGCTCCACAAATGTAACAACTCCACCTTTCAGTTCATCCCTCTTGATCAGGGGTCTCCAAACTATGGCCCGTGGGCCACATCCAGCCCACCTTGCCTTTTTATCTAGCCCGGTGAACGCCACAGGCTCAGGTCTGCATGCTCAGGTCCAATACCCTTCCTGCTGGCCCGGAAGGGGAAACTGCCCAGTGAGTCCCCCCTGGTGGGGAGCAAGGTTTCACTCTGCACCTGCGTGTGTGCATGGGGGTGGCGTTTCACTCTTCATGAGCGTTATGTTCCTTCGGCCTGTGAAAATGTCTAACATATACGACATGGCCCTCATGCTGAAATGTTTGGAGACCCCTGCTCTTGATGTATGTGCTCCAGTATCTGCCCAAAATATTTGCCCCTTTCATCTTCAGACTTGGATCATTCCCTTTACTTGGTGTACAGTACTATACAGATAATGCCTCTAGAGCAGAAAAAAATATCAATGGTTTCCAAAAGAACAAATTCTTCTTGTTGTTGTCATCATCTGTCAACAACAAGGCAAAACACCATTACGTTATTCTGGTCCTCACCTGGGGCCCAAACACATACTCTGGGAGTTGTTTCCTTCCCACTCTGCAGTTTATTGAAGAGAAAGACATAGCAGTCATGACACACTTACGCGGTTCCATTTAAGAGTCCAAAAGGGGACCTGTTCTCCTTGTCCTCACTGTATACATCATAGCAACCAGATATGTCCTCCTTGAAGTCATCATGCACCACACATGAGTTGTTCTGGACCTTCAGTTGGCGCAGTCGTGGGACACCAAGCAGTAAGTTCTCATAGTAGATATATGACTGAATGGGGTGGCCTAGAGGTTTGTTGTTGTACCATTGGGTCCAGTACAAGCTGTTCAATAAAGGACCTTGTGTGTACTATGGAAAGAGGCAGAAAGGGACAGCAAATGCATGTTTTCAAGACTAGACAGAATGACATTAATTAAACCTGCTCCTCTCATGTGGCTAAATGCAAGGGGTTGTATCATCCAATGCTAACAGAGCTTGGAAATGTTTACTTTGTTTGGACAACAACTCCCAGAATCCCCCACCCATTGCAACTAGCAGGCAGGTGGCTGGAGATGTCTGTAGGAACATTTCCAAGCTTGGCGTTTTAATTATATGGGAAGATATCCCCACTTTCAAAGGTAAGTGTTCAGGCTCTCTGTGCATAATAGCTAGAACATGGTAGGGGGAAAGAAAAACTGCCTAAACTAGGGGTGTGTCTGCAGGTGAAGTGAATCAAGCAAAAGACAGTGGCACCAAAATGAAGGGCTCCTGTATATACTGGAAAAACAGGAGAGGGGCTATTAATAACTGGCTTTGAAACAGATCACAAATGCATGATGGTAAGAGTGAAATAAATTTTCCCACAGTTGATTGTACCTGTCCTGATTCCCACATATACATTTCATCAAATCAGGCAGATTATAAGCAGCATGATCCATCCATCCATCCATCCATCCATCCATCCATCCATCCATCCATCCATCCGAATAGAAATAAGGGATTGTCAGTTACTGTGTGACCATATTTAGAGTGGCCAGAGCAGGATTGTTTGTTTGTTTCATGACAATCAGAACAGCAATATTCAGTTTGCCTGCACAGCCCAATGTGGGATAGTGTGTCCAAAGCTTGTCCTCACTGCCCAGAAATACTTACTGTCCAAAAGTCAGCCATGCTTCCAATCGTCTGGAAAGAGACACCACTGTCCGAAGCAGTTTCCAAGAAAAGTTCGGACATCACTTTGGTATAGTAATAGGCATTTGAACTTGTCATCCCATAGGTCACTAGGGGTGGAAAAAAACAACGGGAGATTATTTCTCAGTAAGGTTTAGCTGCTCGTCTCCCATTACAGAGTGACATGATCTATGCACTGCTGGCTTAGGAAAGCTGCAACTTGTACTGAAGCAAGCTCTGTTGGTGTAGGAATATGCTAGAGTTTGAATTACAGGGAAATCTTAATTAGGCAATACTTAATAATAATTATGTAGCGTCAAGTCAATTCCAATGTATGGCAACCCTTTTTCAGGGTTTTCTAGGATATACTGAGAAGTTACCCACCAGTTCCTTCTTTTTGGGGACCTCCGGACTGAAAGCCGTGCAGGTTGGCTTTTCTCCTCGAATACATGATGGGGAATCAAACTCCCAACCTTTGGCTCCGCAGCCAGATACCTAAATCCTTGAGCTATTCAGCCAACTTAGTCAATACATACAGAACCTTACATTTTCCTTATATTTTCCAGAAAAAGCACAGTGTTGACACGATTTGGACTTTTTAATGTTTTAACAAAAAAATTATTTGCTGCAGCCTTTCCTTGCTGGGAGGATCACTGTGTGCTTTTGAGCTCTTGATGCCTTCCATACTGAATTGTCCTGCCTGCTTTCCTGCCTCTGTGCTTCCATCTTGGATTTTCCCCCCTCTTTTTTTCTTGATGTTTTGGGGATGACGACGGCAATGACGATGATTGTTGCTGCTGCCGCCAGGTAGTCTTCCTGTGCCTGCATGGATTCTCGGGATTATTTCTTCAATTCTTTTCCCCCAATTTCGCTCTTTGTTTTGTTGCCCTTTCCATCCTTGGAGGGTTTTTGTTTTGTTTTGTTTTGTTTTTCTTCCTGGTTGGACTTGGCCTGCCTGTGTTGGGTTTTTGAAATTTTGCCATCCCTCCCACATGTATGTATTTTCCTTTTTTAATTTTTTTTCCCTCCTAAACTTATTGTTTGGTTAATTTAATGTGCATTAATTTTGTTATAAGTGTGCATTTGGATAGGTCTTTAAAGGGGGACTGTTTTTTTTTTTTTTTTTGCTTCTCTGGAGGTGTGTTGCCCAGGGAGGTGGACTTTGTAACTGTGTCATTTCTCAGTGGGCTGTGTGCGTGGTCATTAATGCTTGTACTTTTTGGAATAAATCGATTCTTTGTTGTGTTGCCTCTGCTTTAGAGCAGTTTTAAAGGTTTTTTGGGGGGTTTCTTGAGTGCCAAAAGACATGAATGAAGAATCACAAAAGAAAGGAGTTGAAAGAGGTAATGTTCACGCAAAACAAAAAGACTAGTGCATCAAAAACACAAAAAGAAATGAGACTCAAAAGAACCGAAAACAGAACAAATATGAAAGTTTTCACCATACACATCTGTAATGTTGACTATATTTACAGCAACAGAAGTATGTTTCCTTGCCTCTTTTCTAGTTTTTATATTTTGAAATCAACAGGACTACTTTCTATGTTGACTAGTTTTTTAAAGAGTATGCAATAGAAAAAGCATAACATCCAGAAGCTCTGTAGTACTTTAAGGTCTCAGAATATCCTAAACACTCCCCAGGACAGATCTGTCACTATCATACTAGTCAATGGTTGCCACTTTCTTTTGCTACTTGAAGAAGCTAATCTGAGCAGAGTTGTTTCTAAAGCCCCCACTAAGATCATCATAAAGGGTAATGCTGATTTGATGACATGTCCTTTAATGCATCATCAACACTGGTTACTAAAAATGTAAAGTAACCACATGTATTTTCCTCATCCCCACAACACTAGATGCTGGGGGAGGGAGGTGCTGTTGGCGATAATAAGAAGGAGAGATTCTGCACATGCTCTGAGACATGTGCAGGAAGAAACGACACTGGCTAATTCTGTCACTGGAGAAAGATCCCTTTGCTGTTGGTCGCTGTTCAAACTAACTCCTATATTTCTTCCATTATTCTAACCTATTATTATGACCTGGCCTCTAAATGCAACTGGAGAGTATGTTTATTTGTCTGGGTGGGGATGAGTCTATAGAATTAATAAGTCCCTTCCTACTTGCAAATGTGTGTGTCTTTTCATGCAGAGAAAGACTAACTGTGTCTGTCAAAGACAGTTGTGCAAGCTGCATGTTTGTCTTCTCCAAGAAGACATAGAACCATAGGTGCATTAGTACATTGATCGAAGAGTGAAAATAATCACCAGAAACAGATTAGCAAACAACGTCATATGGTTTTTACTGCTAGGTCATGATCTTTCAACATTCTCAATTTAAAATCTTGCATTTTTCCCTGATTTGTTTCTGGTGGTTATTTTCATTCTAGCTTTTAAATGGTCATAATTAATGCTGACTAACTGAGATTTTAAATCATGCATAGCTAAGATGTTCTATACATAAAACAAAAGTCTTTATGCTTGCTTGTACCCTGTGGTTAGAATCGTGGAATCATAGAATAATGAAGTCAGAAGGGGCCTACAAGGCCACCAAGTCCAACCCCCTGCTCAAAGCAGGGATACAAATCAAAGGGGGGCTGTCTAAATTTCTCTTGAATGCCTCCAGAGTTGGAGAACTGACCACCTCTCGAGGTAATTGGCTCCATTGCCATACTGTTCTAACAGTTAGGAAGTTTTTCCTGATATTCAACCAAAATCTGGCTTCCTGTAACCTGAGCTCATTGTTGCATGTCCTGCACTCTAGGCTGATCAAGAACAGATCCTGCACCTCCTCTGTATGACAGCCTTTCAAGTACTGTATTTGAAAAGTGCTATCATTCTTCTTTTCTTCTTTTCTCATCTTCTTTTCTCAAGGCTAAACATCCCCAGTTCTTTCAGTCTTTCCTCACAGGGCTTGGTTTCCAGCCCCCTGGTCATTCTTGTGGCCCTCCTCTGAACTTGTTCCAATTTGTCAGCATCTTTCTTGAAGTGAGGTGTCCAATACTGGACACAAAATTCAAGATGAGGCTTAAGCAGTGCTGAACAGAGGGGAACTAGTACCTCATGGGATTTGTCTGTTTTGTAGCTGCATCACATTGTTGGCTCATATTAAGCTTGTTAGCTATGATTATACCAAGATCCTACCTACTCATAGTATTGCTTTCTTTTTGCTAGGTGCGGTACTTTGCACTTATCCTTGCTGAATTTCATTCTGTTGTTTTCAGCCCAGTGCTCAAACCTATTTAGATTAGAGATGGGATATTTACATTTGTATCCCGGGAAAAACAATACGAATATTGCAACTACAGGCGGCTTGGCCAATTGGACCCTCTGCCCAGAACCAGGTCACCCCACTTACAGCTTGCAGTGCAGTGTGCACATCCATCATTGTTCATGCTTCACCAGTCACAGAAGTAGCCCAGCCTAGGCTTCTCTGCCTCCTTGCACCACTGACCACTCAGCAGCTAAGTGGAGAGACTTGTCATCCCACCTCTTCACCAGATTGGTCACCAGTGCACAGAGATGGGGAAACTACTTTGAATTTAACACAATTCAGTGGTATTGAAATGCATGTACTTCATGACTTGGGGGCCCAAGAGTAGGTGGAAGCATTGCCAGGGAAAACAATGTGAAGCTTGAGTCCCTTCCCTTGACTTTATCATGGCTAATTTTGCTGTCCAGTGGCTGAATGTGTGGTGGCAGGATGCCCAATTTTGCAGTGGACTGGCTTCCTGGATTTTCCCCATGTCTCAGTTCACCAATGGACAGTGGCTGGGCTGACCAGGCTTCCCCAGGTGGACCTGTGTGGTGGAAGCTTCACTCAGGTTCATTGGGAAATTATCCCTGCCCCATGGTGGGCCAAGAGCACTGTCATGTCCAATGTCTGCAAAGCTGTGCCATGTCCAAAACACTTCAGGAAAGGAACAGGTGTGGTAAACAATGCTTCCTTTTTCAAGAGCATTGCTTTCTTGTGCCTTAATTCCTGTACTGAAACAGGAAGAACTGGGCGAGGGGGGAGTATAGTTTCTTGCCACTCTTCAATGGCCCATGCAACCATGGGATCTGTTGTGAGATGAATCAAACATATCATATGTATGTGTGTATGCAGAGACACACAAACACGTGTGAAGGTCAATAACTGCTTTTGTAGGGGGAAAAAATCTGTTCTGTGCCCTACACAAACACACTTTCAAAGCTTCTGCTTCTGACAGGGTCAGAACATCATCACTGTACAAGAAGAGTGATTTGAGCGTTGTCCCCCTGTTGCAAGCGATAAGTATGACTGGCATACCTGCTTCATTGCAGAGTGCATGAAATATAATCTGTTGCCCTATGAGACATCACAGGTGCTCCTTTGAGATAACAATGAATCTCCCTAAAACAAACAGCCATTGTTGCACCCAAACAAAATGCTTTAGTATTTGGCAGAGGTATGCATTAAATCTACCCAGACAGTACAATAGGAGCTATCATTTCTGTTATTGTCCCAGCCACCCATCCTGTATAGACCTTGGGATTTAAAGGTGAAGCATCAGAGTGTTGTGGAAATGTTACCCACAGTTATCTTAAATTCCAGAAACATGAAGGAAAATGTTGACGTCCGTAAGAAATGAAACTGGTATTGTTCTTCCATTCCTAGAACAAACTGTCATATGAGCTGAAGTAAAGGATGATGGAGCCGATAAGTAAAGCTTCACTCATCTCTCACAAAAACTGCTAGAATCAGGCCTGCACCCACCGTGCAATATACTGTATACTGGTAAGCTTTGCAAGGCCCATCATCTCTGGATGTTGCCATTCACAATGCCACGCTGACCATTTTTGGCTGGGTGCCCCCAACAAGATGCCCTAGAAACATGACTGTCCCAGTGCTTTGTTTTGTCAAAGCATCATCAATTTTTAGTATTCCGCTTCTCATCTTTAATGAGATGCCATAAGATGCCTGGCCATATCGGGTGGTTGGAACACTAATGGATAAGCTAGCTAAGTCTGGCTGATGGATATGAGTGAGAGAATTGTTTATGGTGGCCTCAAACAAAGCAAGAGGCTTCTCTACATGGGCTGAATTGAGTCAAGTTGGATTGGGTTAAATACGGTACCCAAGGTTGGATAGAGGTCTGCTTTCCTATTTGGTGTGATCCATGGATCCAAATATCATATGTACAGAGAGTAGTGAATTTGACTTCACATTTCAGATCCTGGATTTTGAAGATTCAGAGGATGGAGGTCTTATCTCTTTCTTCCCATCTGCATTAAGAACTTTCCTTCCTTTTAATGAAGGATGGCATCAGCTGAAGTTGATCTTTGACGCTGCTCTCATTTTTGAAGCTGAGATGTTTCCATGTTTCAGGCACAAGGAGATGATTCACAAATTATAGCATTAAGGCAGAAGCTAGGAAAATAATTAACATTATTTTATGCTCCATTCATCTCGACATATAGCAGCAAATCAGCAAATCCTGAAAGGTGGAGGTGCTGAACTCAGTCGAAAAGACACAGCCAAGTAGATGCCCTAATTGAAGGCATTTTAATCTTTTCCGAAGATTCAAGTAAATCTGCAGTAAGCATCATTTTGTGAAGACAAAAACCTCACTGCACACACCTGAGAAGGATTTAAAACCAAGTTTTTCAAGAAGTATCTATAACTTTCCTTTAGCCTTGCATCCAAATTTGGATGTGCCATGGTCCATTGTTGAACGTAAAAGAATATTGGTCCTGAAGGGTGCAAGAAAGGAATCTGGCTGAGACTTCCATTTCAATACAGATGGCTGGAAGGGCTGTGCATTGGGTTGAAGGGGCCAGAGGCATCCCAGACTCGTATAAATAACATAGGGATTAACAATCCAGTATTTTCCAGATGTATAGAGAAGTACTTAAGTGTACACAGTTGATCTGAATGACAGGTTTCTTCTAGGATTGGGATTGCTTTGTTCCCCAAGTAACAGAGAGAACTCGTTGAAAAACAGCCTTGACAATTGCTTTATGTTTGGGTGAGATGTGGTTAACTGATTCAAAAACAAGGAGTCAGTTTCTGGGATTTTCCCTTCCTTGGTGTCTGTTTGTGAGTGGTAGTGACCACGAGGGCATCCTGCAGACCAGGGGTCCTCAACCCCCCGGTCTGCGGTCCTTTCTGGGATTTTCCCTTCCTTGGTGTCTGTGAATGGTAGTGAACATGAGGGCATCCTGTAGACCAGGGGTCCTCAACCCCCCCGGTCTGCGGTCCTGTGCCGGTCCGTGGCCATGGCAGGACTGGGCCGCGGAGACAGATATCCTGCCCTCTGCACACACTCCCCCATGCACCCCCACACACATATGGCCTGCCCACCTGCACATACAGGTGCCCCGCCCACCTGTGAGCGCACCCTGCCCATCCCTGAGCATGCCCTGCCCATCCGTGCATGTGCGAGAGCGTGTCCTGCCCATCCGCGAGTGTGCCCCACCCATCCATGCATGCATGAGAGAGTGCACCCCACCCACCCACAAGCATGGGGGTTTGCCCCCCACAGACCCCACTCCCCAACTGGTCCACGGTTCAGAAAAGTTTGGGGACCCTTGCTATAAGCCACCTGGATTGCTGATTCAGGCTGCCCTTTGTTATGCAAAGCCTGGCATCCTTTTGCCTGCAGGCAACCTGGGCACAATATTGTGCAGCACTGCTGGGCCATTTCCTAGCATTTTGAATTGTGGATACATAAGCACAATATCCCACATTCATAAACTGGAGGTTTTTTGAATAATTGATTTTTTATGGCTAGTCTTCCTTTATAGCCCATGGGAAAGAGGCATCTCCAAAGATCCTTATGATTTCATATGATTTTTAGATGCAATTCTCCTAAACCGCCCACATTCATAAACTGGAGGTTTTTTGAATAATTGATTTTTTATGGCTAGTCTTCCTTTATAGCCCATGGGAAAGAGGCATCTCCAAAGATCCTTATGATTTCATATGATTTTTAGGTGCAATTCTCCCTAAACCACTGTCAGATCATAGATTCTGTCTGTGCCCATAGACTACACCACAGAAACCATGGGTTCTTTAGTGCATAGATTTATAGCGGTGTAAAAGCATAAATCCACATGATTTTTATGTAGGCTAAGCCACAAACCACTGTCCAGTCTGTTGGCAGAGATGGGGACCCATGATTTGATAGTAGTTTGGAGCAGTTCCCATGTAAAATTCATGTGGATCCATGAGGATTGATGACTTGAATTGGTAGTCTGTGGGCACAGATGGAATCAATGATTAGATGGTGTTTTGGTGAGGAAACCATATGAAAGTCATATGAAATCATGAAATTCCCCTCTTCCTTCTTTTCCTCCCCTCCTCCTCCTCTCCCTCCTTTCTTCCTCCCATTGATCCCAAATGAATTTCTCTCTGCTGAGTTGTCTGTGAATCAGTGACTAAGTTATACAGTGGTAAAATAGTGGGGGGAAAAAAGTCATATGAAATCATGAAATTCCCCTCTTCCTTCTTTTCCTCCCCTCCTCCTCCTCTCCCTCCCTTCTTCCTTCCATTGATCCCAAATGAATGACTTTCTCTCTGCTGAGTTAGTCTGTGAATCAGTGACTAAGTTATACCGTGGTAAAATAGAAGACTGGGGGGAAAACACACACCTCTGAAATGCTAACAGAGGCATTGACATATGGCAAACTGCTACAAATTAAATTCTTTTGACATCTGAGTTAAAATAAACAACCCTCTGGTGGAAGTTAAAAAAAGCTGCTGCTCAAAAACACACGATTCCATGTCAAATTAATCCACTTTTCCATGTACATTGTGTATTTGCCTTCTTTTTTAACCTTGACTTAAGACAAGCTAAAATTGATTCAACAACAGTTCTTTTTCCAAGTAGAAACAGGCTCTAATGTAGCGCCATCCTATGGCAAGAAACAAGGACCAACTACTGCACATCTCACCTGGAATGGCAGCTTGCTGGTTTCTCCAGGAAGCTGGAAGCTGAATGTGAAAATGAAAGTCTTCCCTTCCACTGTTTTATATCCCAGTGACTATGATTGAGGGATACGTGCCCCCTGAATATTCTTTTTATTATAGGGTACCATCTCACCTGGAATGGCAGCTTGCTGGTTTCTCCAGGAAGCTGGAAGCTGAATGTGAAAATGAAAGTCTTCCCTTCCACTGTTTTATATCCAGTTACTATGATTTAGGGATACGTGCCCCCTGAATATCCTTTTTACTATAGGGTAATTCAGATACCACCTTTTTGCTAAAACAAATAGTGCTCCATAGAGATGATACTTGCTTTGTGGCATGATGACTTCCCTGAAAACATTTGTCTCTGGGTTCATGGTGTGGTATTTTACTCTATATTTATTCCAGGCCTATGTCCACAACTGGTATTTTGGCTTGTTTTTGTTAAATGATGCTAGCTTCAGATATCAGCATTTTCTTTCATGTACTCTTTTGCTGCCATGCTTAAAGATCTAATTTAAAAAAATTGTTTTGCATGCTACCTATTTTCTCTACTCCCTTTGTTCTTATCCTAGATAATCTTCTTTATTTGCATCCTGACCATTGACTGAATAATTCCCCTAATCCAAAGGAACCTTCCCACCCACTTGCCAGCCTACCTGTAGCCACGCTCTGTACTTACTTAAAGAGGGATTAAAGGGAACTCTAGATAGTGGCAACCAGGACGGCTTCCGAATGATTACTTCCCTACAGTCAGATTAAAGAACAGGAAGCAGAGTAGAAATGGAAAGGAAGGTTTGGACAACAGAAGGATGCTGACTTAACTTAAGACTCTATTTAGCTATGATGGCAAGCAGCATTAAAAAGTTATATTTTTGCACAATAACTTCCAGAATTCCCCCAGCCTGCAAACTCTACGGCTAATGTCTGATAGTTCTGCTATTCAAGAATTTATCTTTCGGAGATCTAAAAATTTTAGATCTTCAAAAGAGTTTTTTTTGGGGGGGGGATCACATGGCTGATCTTAAGAAGAAGATGCCAACCAGCATTTGCCAAAAAGTATCAATGCACAAGCAGCCCTGGAGGAGCAACAATAGTACTCACATAAACAGATATCCACCAAAAATACAATATAGACCAGCAGTTCACGTAATGTGGTCTTCACATAAAGCTCTCGATTCTCAGCAGTGTTTTCAGTCAGAGTGGTGCCCCAAAGTCCTGGAAAGATGAAGTAAAGAGGAACAAGTAAATACTATCCTTCTGAGTGTACCTGTTTATTGCTGTAGGAATTAAAGCTGCCACTCATTTGATTTATCATCTTACCACTGAAATGAAGAGCAGTGAATGGAAGCTCATTTATCAAAGAGTCCATTTGCAGTGGATGTGAATTTGGAATGAAAGATGGCTGCCCAATCAACACCTTAACAAAGTATATTAAAGGTACAATCCCATGTCCGTTTAATTGGGAATAAACAACACTGAGCTCAGCTTTTCGAGATACATTTATAAGATGGCATAGAATCATTGAGTTCCTAAAGAAAGCACATTTCTTAACCTACTGTTAAGGTGTTTTTAAAATTATACAGATAATCTTCTGTATAAACTCTTACCTCAGTCTTGTTAATACCAGTCCCATGTTGTTATCGGTACCCTTTGACTGTTAGCTACATATCTTTACCATGCATGCTAGTGACTCACAAACTAGGCTCAGAATGAAATACAACAATTGACAGTGAGGCAGAATTGGGAGAATTGCATATTTTCATCTTTATACCTGACCCAAAGCATCGAATTTCAGCCTTTTCAGAGTTCTATGTGGCAAGCAATGCCAAGCCAGCCATCCACCCATTTGCCACACAATGCCAACCCACCCAGTGTAGATGTACTGCGAGGCTGATCCATGGGGCATTTGGCCTAGATACCATTGTCTATGGCTTCAGGAGTATCATGAGCACTGGTGCAGGTAAAAGGTAGGAGAGTTATTGCTATGGACTCCCAAAGATACTGGAAAATGAAATGAATAACTGTAGGTAGTGAAGACTCGCAACACATCTAAACTGTTTTGAGTAAATCCCCTTGTGAGCAACAGCAAGCGGAGAGCCAACCCTTTTTCTTTTTGTTGTTTTCAGTGGTGCCAAGCAAGTGTCACTTTGTGGGTTCAGTTCCTTTTGAAAATGTTTCAGTTTACTTTCTTTGAACAGCTCTGCTCTGATGAGCTACGTAACACCCTAAAAGGGTCCGGCAGTTTGGACCGTGAATGACTTGTTGTTATCGTTATTTTCACTCAAACTTTCATCCAATGTACATATGCATCTCCACTTGAAAGCCGAGTAGGTGTGTACCCACGTCAATATTCAAAAGGTTTTCTGTTCCTTTTATATAGTCTCAGAGGGTTGAGCCCAAAGACTCCCAGATGAGTAGCTTAAAGATGGAGAGAGCGCCACACCCCTAATCGAAAGCACTCAGATTTGAACAGTACACAGTGATCTTTTGAGAAGGGAGACTAAAAGATTGGCTAAGGTGCATGGGTGCACCATGACTGGAGCTCCTTCTGGTTGCAGTTCAAAAGCTTAGTTTTCCTTCTTTTGAAGTTGCAGGATTATTAACGGCAGCAGGCACGTCATATGAGCTTCATGCAGCTCCTTTGCTTTCTCCCACGAGCTCTAGGAAACACTTGATACTCAAACAGCATTTTCATTTTGGTCTGGCTCCCTGGTGTATCCCGACAGCATTTAGCTTTAGGAACGTGGGCCCTACTTTGCATTTTTAAAATCTGAAACCTGAAGCCCACTTGCCCACCATGTGAATATTTTTAATATGTATTTTCTGTTCAGAGAACTGCAGAGAAAAATCTGGAGAAGTACAAGTGAGCCGCCTAGAGTGGTCCTAACACGACCAGATAGGTGGGATATAAATAAAATAAATAAATAAAAATAAATAAATAAGATAATGATGTTCTGCTTTATGTGCTGGTTCACAGGGTGTGGATTTGGTAAAGTGATCTAAAACTACAACATCTGCATCCCTGTTGTAGGGTTGGTCAGTCCCTGTTTCAGTCACAGCCTAGGGGCCCCCTCCCCCACTGTGTGTTGTTTGATAATTGTTTATTTGTAAAAGGCTAGGCAAAGACACATTTTCTTCATTTGATTTTTAGCAAATTAAAAATACTGCATTTGCATCCTTCTGCATGCACAGAGTGAGTGTTCACAACTAAGCATAATACACGGGTCGGAATCCTTTGTTGTCACGGAACAAAATGCTCCTTGCTTAATGATGTTGTAAACTGCCCAGAGAGTATTCTAGCACTATGGGGTGATATATAGGTCAAAATAGCAGCAGCAGCAGCAGCAACAACAACAACAATGTCAGATCCAAACTGGTGGCTCAGATTAGGAGACATATGCTAGGAGTTAATGAAGTTCTGTCAACTGTGCCAACTCTACTTTGCTTTCCCTTCAACTCTTCACACACTTTACAGTTATTTCTAGGGATATACATGGCAGAAACTTGCATTTCCATTTTGGTTTGGTTCCTTTCAAAGAGAGGCATCTTTACTTCATTTTGCCTCATGTACCACTCTTTTGTTTACAAACGAGACTTGTGGGCACAATAGTTTAACTGCAGTACTGCAGTCAAACTCTACTCAAAACTTGGGTTCAATCTCAGGTGCTTGGCTCGAGGTTCACTCAGCCTTCCATCCTTCTGAGGTTGGTAACTTGAGTAACCAGCTTGCAGGGGGGAGGGGGAATGTGTAGCCTGCATAATTAAATTGTAAACAAGCCAGAGTGTGCTTTAAATGCTATGTGGCAGTATATAAACAGCATGCTTTGCTTCATTTGCTTTTACAAGAAAGGAGGTGCCTTTGTCATTTGGAACCCCCCCCCCGGCAGTGGTGATGAGGAATGGAGGGGGAGGCAAAAGCAGAGCTGGCAGGGCTGGCAATAAGATAAGAGGCATGGTAGTGGCAGCAGATAGGAGAAACAGCAGGTGTGGCAGCAGGGCAAGGAAGATTTCACAGGTGTTTTAGCTGAAAGAAAAGTTTAACCAAAGGGGATCACACTCACACACACACACACACACAGAGAGAGAGAGAGAGAGAATTTTCACATTCCCCTCTTGTTTAAATGAAGCTTAAAAGGCCCTCTTTTGGGAATCCATTAAAAAACTGAAAGCAAAAAAGCCTCTTTCCATTTCTTCCCCTTTGAATTCAATCAGCAAAAAGCAAAACCAAGTATTTCAGTTTTACAGATTGTTAAGATCCTTCCCTATTCAGTCCTGTTCCACTGTGCCAGAAAATAGCCCTTAACCAATGTGTTGCTAAAGGCCATTGATACGGTATACTATGCTTCGTTATGGTTAGTTCCAACTTCACTTCTGCCTTGGTTGTCAGTGGCAGAGTTATTGGCCAAAGACTTAGATTTGTCTATCCACTGGAACGAACGTGCTACCACTCACTGAGAACAATACAGCTGGAGGCAGCCGTCATGGTCATCTAGTCTGTCACAAACCATGGCTCTGTGCAAGATAAAAGATGCAAAGCATATGGCATGTTTCTCCTTCTTCCTGTATGTCTCACACCCAAGTATGATTGCTTCCATAATCGTGAAAAGCACATTCAGTAGAATAATCTGCCATTATGTCATATTATTACTGATGTAATTATATATCTAATTGCAGATTTCACCAACCTTCCCCAAACACTTTGCACTGTTTTGGGAGGGAGTATGTAAACCTCAAGAAAAATTGCCTCAGTACATATGGTATGTATACTCGGTGTGTTGTAGTGGATAGAGTGATGGATTAAGAGGCCTCAGTTTGAACCCCTGCTCAGCCGTGGAAGCTCATGGGGAGTGGGTGGAACTGGTAAAACCACTCCTTAAATATCTCACTCACTTTGAAAACCCTATTAGGGTTGCTCTAAGTCGGTTCTGACTTGATGGCACATAACAACAACAACACAATTGTACATGCTGGAGTTTTTTTACAGCCTTACATGCTGCCTGTAGGAGCTGCGGACGAGAGGAACGTTTCTAGCCTGGGGTGACTGTCAGTGTATCCAGCACTAACCAGTAGTTAACAATAAAGTTCTTTTCTCTTCTTTTCATATATTCTCTCTCATGGAGTTCTTTTTCTGCCCAAGAGGTTTTTTTTAAAATGCCATAATGGGCTGTATTTGTTGCACATTAATTTTGTCACCCAGCCTGTGTACATGGATGCGACCTATACCTCAGGGAGCGGGACCCTGCGTCTAACGTCTTGTGAGGAAATTCGAACAGTCTGATGCAGTGGAGAACAACTGTTTTTTTGTTAGAATGTTAACTGTCGTGTGCCACATTTCTCAATTTGTCCCTGTGAGTTATGGATACAGTCTTACCAAAATCAAGCCCTTCAACAACTCAAAATTAAACCTTCCCTTTGGAAATGACTAGAACTTGAAATTCTGTAACACTGGCATTTTGTGCTCTGTCAGGTAAACCCGTGAACTGCGGTCCAGTGCATTATGCTCTTTTTCTCAGTGACAGGTGCAAATAGTTCCTGGATGTGTTTAGCCTTGCCTTAATCCTATCCCTCATGCTAAAGTTTTTGTACTGTAACCACCTTCAGAAAAGGAACTCCTTAATTAGTGGTGATCTGCTGCTGTACCTGGTAAAGTCACTCTCATAGTGCAGACAGAGCAACGTAACAGGATACCAGCCACAGTCACTTCTTAATACCAGTTACTAAACATCACTACAGATCAACTATCAAAGAGGGACAAATCCCACAAACTGTCAAGTATAAATATTAAATTAATCAAATACAACATACACCATTATATGTATATACATGAGTTTAATGAATTGCATGCCATCCAGTCAATTCTCACTTATGGGGACCCTTTTCAGAGTTTTCTAGGTAGAGAGTACTCAGACGTGGCTTACCATTCCCTTCTCTTGGGGGGCCCCCTGGGGCTGTGCAGCTTGCCCAAGGCTACATGGGCTGGTTTTTCTCCTGGGGGACACAGTGGGGAACTGGACTTCTAACCTCTGGTTCTACTGCAAGATAGATATCTAAATCACTGAGCTATCCAGCTGGCCCATAGGCATATAAAACAGTGAATATTTTGCATAAACATTTGTGGAAGTTGCCTTTCAGGTGGATTTTTGGGAGCAAATTTGTCTTTGCTCTCATAGATGTCCCTCTGCTTTGATGACTGCTCTGCTAGAGCAAATATGTTGCCTCATCTTCCCATCTTTTACCAGACTTGAATGTTGTCTTCTCCACTCCCCTAGAATAATCCAGTGATGGCTTTCAGAGTGATATTAAACGTTGCAGAGTCTTGAGATACAACTGGTTTCACATTCCAACTAAAACCTCAAATTGAAAACTTTGTCTTAAAAAATTGAATCTCAGATTCGAAATGTTGCTGAATTCCTACACTAGCAAAACATAATTTCAGCTCTGGGAAAAATCTTTCCCTGCTTCTACTCAGACTATCCACAATTGGACAGGGATCCATGTACAATCTTCTTCTTCCCATTCTACTGTCAAACTTTTTCTGGCATGATTGTCTTTTCCAGTGAGTCTTATCTTCTCATAATATGCCCAAAATACAGTAGCTTCAGTTCAGTTATTTTACCTTTCAGTGAAGGTTCTAACTTTAATTTGAACAGACCTTTAAACCATTCTCCATGCTTAAATGTAGAGCTTGAAAATAGCTAGCTATAAATACCTGTCTGCAATAACTGAGGCATAAGTAAGTCAGTCACTTAGGATCATATTGGAATGACAAGCCAGGAATGTGGGGGGAAGCTGATGGGTAAATACCTGTCTGCAATAACTGAGGCATAAATAAGTCAGTCACTTAGGATCATCTTGGAATGACAGGAAGAAGCAACACATTCACTAGCGGTCATCAGTGGCATAGGCCAATAAGTTGGCTTTTATGTAGCAGGTTAATGACGACACTGTTAAGATTTCAAGATACATAGGCAACTGTGCCCAGTGGGTTGGAGTGCCAGGCTGAGACGCCACAGCTGAGAGTTCAAATCCCCACTGTACCTCCTGGGAAAAGGGCCAGCCCAAATCTCCTGGAACCTGTGGGGCTGATGGGGTTAGATGCTCTGCCACCTGTGTGGCTTCAGCATGCTGCTTGTTCCCAAAGTGATGAGACATCAGCCTGTAGTGTAGCTTGAGTTCAAATGCACTGTTACTGAGTGAGTTGAGTGCCATCTCATTCTAGGCTATTTATCTGGAAGTGAGCTGTCTCTTGAAGCCATTGCCATGCAAATTTCTTTTTAAAAAGAAAATGTATTTGGTACTTAGGGTATTTAGCTTTAAGCACAAGAGCAATTCTGTACCAAGACAGCAGATTTATAGAGATCACAGCTGTTCAGGAGTTAGTGCTGCTGCTGCTGCTCTCAGGAGAGTTTTAGGCAGGGAGGAGAGATCTGGCCCAGTGATGCTCTGTAAAATGTATCAGTTTGACGAGCATCTCTAAAATACAGTGGAGTGTGCGTTCAGTAACATTTGATATATTTTTGTTATTATTTGCATAATTTAATGGTACAAATGAGCTACAATGATTTCACCAATTCAATTGATTGATCTAATTTGGATCTCGTTTGGAATTTAATTCCAAAGGCGCCCCGAGTAGGCATAGTCTAGAGGGGCGGGGTAAAAATCTAACAAACAAACAAACAAACAAACAAACAAACAAACAAACAAGAGACCATTCTTCCTCACTCCTTATTTCTTAGGGTGGGCACGTGTCCGCCATTAGGGAAGCTTGTCTTCCATTTAATGGGTTGTCCAGTCAAAACCTGATCTGAAGGTAAAGAACCATAAAGAGGGAGATGAGAGGGCTGGAAGATGCCCCTCTGTGCTTCCACTCCTGGACAGCATGCTCAGTAAGCACACCAGTTACCTGGTCACTTTGTCTCTAAGTGAAATGCATTGTGGGACTTGCGGTCAAGATGGACATGACTTGGAATTGACTTGGTTTCCCACCCCCACTCCCCAATGAGGTTCATCTTGCTGCTTGGAACCCACCCGCCTCTCCCTTTTTCTGGGAGGGAAAAGCTTGCTTTTAATATGGATTCGGAATTGGGGTTTGGGACTCAGGACTTGGTACCCAAGACTCGGACTCAGACCCAAAGGCTCACCCACATCCCTGCCTAATTCTGTTTAAGTAGTAGGAACCATTTCTAATGTTGCATCTGTACATTAACCCCTGACTTGGCAGTGCTTTTTGATCATGCCTATCCCCTTTTTTGGTGATGTATAAGTGACCATCTTATTCTTTGCTCCAGGTTCAGCCTCAGCAACTTAGCTTGCACATAACCAGGCCGCCATTACGTACACCTTCGCACCTCACCCTCCCCAACTCCGTATCTTCATGAGACAGTCCTAGCCTAGGCAGGCTCGTGTGATTTTCATGCACTAAATGCAGGGAATGTGAAAAAGGCAGATATCCAGGGTGTGTGTCCTCGTGAGGTTGCCCAGCAACTGTAAACCATGCTTTTGTCTTGAATCATAATCTTGAAACACAGCCTGGTAATCTTTGTATGTATACCTTATCTTTCTTTCAAAGAATACGAGACAGCTTATATTACTCTCCTGCTCCCTGTCTTTACAACTGCTCTGTGAGGTAGATTCATCTGCTGAATGGCAGCTGGAACCTATTGAACAACTACAACACACTGTGGGACAACATATAGGATAGATACCCCACAAGAAAGAAGATCAGCTAAAAAGAATGCTAAGAATCACTAGAGACAGCTTGAGCAAGACATTCGAGACAAATTGCAAAAGAAGTCACGCAATTCAATCAAGAACAAAAATAAATGTGATCCTTTCTGGATAACTATGACCACAATAATCTTTATGGGAGGACCTTTCACCCCCAACACATTACCCCTCAGCAATACTGAAACTGGTCCATGGAACATTCCAGAAGTTACCCACTATCCATCCCTCTGATAATCTGTCTCGTGTGTTTTTCTATCAATCTTACAGCTTTTTATAAACACTTCCTCCTTTATCAACTTTCAGGCAAATCCTCATCGGCCCACTATCCATCCCTCTGATAATCTGTCTTGTGTGTTTTTCTATCAGTCTTACAGCTTTTTCTCCAAATTGTGCTGTAATAAGTCCCACATTTTTAAGCCATCACAAACATTTGCAAACATTTTCATCTCCAAAAAAGGGTAAGCAGCCAACAGTGTTAAGCATGTATAATATCACCTTTTACAGTTTTTCTACACATGGTGTCCAAAACTGATTGTGTTCATCAGGTCCTCACTCTTTAAGTCCAGCTGGGCACATTTACAAGGAACTGTACCCCACTGAATTTAGTCGGACTTTCTCCTAAATGCTTGTGTAGTCAACATTTTGGAAGCACATTTACCACTGTTAATAGTGCAATTACCTTCCATATCCTATCTCATTTGGATCCAACCCACCTCCCAACATGTATACTATATACTTAAAACTATAGCATAAATATTGTACTCCATGTGCCTGAAGAAGTGGATTTTAATCCATAAAACGTCACTCTAAAATAATTCTAGTCTAAAAGATGCCACAAGGGTTTTGTTGTTGCTATCCTCCAACATGAGAATGTGCATAAGATTGCTCCCTTGCATCTCTTGAAAGCACAGGGGAACCATGTGGGCAGGGTTCCTTCATACTGGTTGGGGGGGCTGGGGCTTCAAATTGGGGCTCCTTGGCTGTAAAAGAGGGACACTGGTTCCTGGGGGCCCCTATCATGGCTTGCAAGCATCCCCCTTTCCAACTTCAGTCCTGCTTTCAACCTGTCAGTGACACAATGCAATTGACACGAAGGTAAACCACCAGGCAATCTTAGAACTGCAGAGCTGGAAGGGACCCTGTGGACCATCATGTCCAGCCCTTGTCAAGGAGGCACTGGGGGGGGGCATCGAACTCCCAACCTCGGGCTCTACATAATCATTTTGCTACACAATGCTTCCCCAGTAACTGTTGTAGAAAAGTTGCTTCCTTCTTTCCACTGTCTAGATATGGACTTGTAACAAATGAAATTTCCAAACTCTGTGCCACCTCACCCCACCCCACCCGGTTACCTCGAAGGCCTTTCAAAAGGAAGACACAGCATGCAGGAGAAGGCTTCTTCTTCTTCTTCTGCTTCTTCTTCATATCCTCAGCTGGCTTGTTCTCCTTTTGGTAGGGCAGAGAGCCAGTCAAATTCTCAATGTTCTCGTAGGGGTTTTCCAGGATGGATTTGGGGTTGTAGATTGCCCTGATTTTCATGGAGGAGGAGGGCGACCCATTGTAAACAGGGTTGTCCCATGCCTTCTTTCCCAGAGATTCCAGTTCATGCTCTTCCTGTCCTTGGAAATGGCTCTCAGCTCTGTTGTTTAGGTGGGAAGAGCTCATGACTGCACCTCAGTCAGAAGTTTCCTTCTGGGTCAGCTGCTGAGACCAGTGTGTTCAGAGGAGCACAAAGAATGAATCGAGCAGGCAGGTCAGCAACAGGGGCAGCAACCTGCGTCTCCTGGGCGCCCTGCTCCACGGCCTCTTTTATACCCATTCATTGGGTGACAACTATAGAATGGAGGCACCAGCCATTGTTAGGAGCAGCTGTGAGTTTTATTCTTCAGAGAGCACAGCTACACCCAGAGGATGATTCCTGTCTCCCTCCCTTCCTCCCTCCTTCCCTCCCTGCAGATGACAATCATGAAAACCAGCATGGGGAGCGTAGGCTGCTAGGATATTGCCTTTTGTTGTGGCCTGGCTTCCAGGGAGGGAGGGAGGGGAACAAGAGGCAGGATGATTATTGGGCACCTTGAGTTACAGGCAGCAGTGAGTGGCACCTGGCACATCCCCAAACATTATGGACTAGCTTCTAAATAGAGCTGCACCAGAACAGCATTTGAGATCTTTGAATCAAATTTTAGACCGACTTTCTGAGTCTTTGAACTGGGGCCCTCAAGAACTCTGGGATTCAGCATGACAGCTTTTGCCCTTTTCATGAGAGAATAATTGCAGGTGTTGATGGTGGCACTCACAGCAACAATCTGTACAGGGATGAGCTAGGGAATCATAAGCTGGCCAGCCTCAAACAAGAAAGAGTCAGCTAGAAGCAGAGATGGGAAAAGATGGGGTTGGGGTTGGACTTTAATTCCAGAATAAGCCACCCATCATGGCTGGCTGAAGCTTGCTTGGGTTGCAGTCTGAAAAAGGCAACTTTCCCTATATCAGTCTATATATGCAAATGCCATCATGCTATAGAGGCCGACCACTCATCCTTCTAAGTGGATGTCTCCACTGACTAGGATCTTTATGATCAAAAGCACAACGCTGCCTTGGTGAAGACTGAAGGACGTCTACTGTAAGAGCATGTAGGGCTTGATTCTTCTGTTGTCTCCTTTAGGTCAGAAGAAAGGATTAATACTCGCCCTTGCCACACTTTAGGAATCAGATCTTGCTTCTCAATTCCCTGAGGGCTCAGCATCATGGCTTATGGAAAACTGATTCCGATTACAGTATCTTCTTATTAGAAGGATACCTTTTGGCTGTCCTCTGCCAACCTCTACCTATGTTCTTGGAAATGATTTGCTATCCCAAAGCCTTGATTGAACAAATGGCCTAGAGCAAGTAGAATATATGTCTCGCAGTCCCTGAGAGAAATGGAATGTGCCCCATCATTTGATTCAGATATGAAGCCCGTATCTAGTGATAACTGTGCTACTCATCCTGCTGATCAAGCTAATGAATCATGATGTGACAATGTTTTGGTTCCTGGTTCCTACATCAGCCTTGTTTTCAACCATCTCTTAATGTAAAATATAAAACATGCGATAGTTGGAGTGCAGATTTGATTTCCCTTTCAATGTTTCCTGTGCTTTGGTCATTCAGATTTAATGACACATCTGCATCCATGAAGAAATCTTGATGCATGTCTTAGTAAATCACAGACCAAACCTGCAACACATTCTGTGTGGCCTGACTTTAAAGAGTGTTCCTAAATTTAGGTTGATCCAGAACTGTATTAGAAATGGGGGGGGGGGGTCATACACTTGCTCTCAAAATGAATCAGACTCTTTGAGGGTTCTGCTTGAATGGTCAGCACCCCTTGAAAGGAGGCAGTGCATGTTTTTCCTTTCACCATGCACTACCTGGCAGGGGGACAAAAAACAACAACGCTCCCATGATGGCCAGAGCAGAGCAAGAAAAAGCACAGTCAGCTGTCTCAGTGATGGGAGAGGTCCAGTTGTGAGCTCTTTGATCTTCCAATGACAGGGATAGGTAAATGGGTAGGAGAGCATGGACTCACATGATTAAATGGCCTGCTTCAATTCTTGCCACATCCCTAGATTTGTACCACAACATAAGACCACAGTTCTGCCTTGAATCTTGTCTTCATTCTCATGGAGATGGCAAATTTGAATGTCATTGCCACTGCAAAATCAGCTACCTTGTGATTTTTTATCAGGGAATGTGGCATGAAGGGGGCATGCATGCTGTTTCCCAGAACTGCACTCCCAACAAGATGCCAAGGGCATGATTCTTCTAGGAAATGACATGTGTACTCCCGGCGAGCCATGTTCGCCAGCAAAATCGCTAGGATTTGGGCAATGGGAAGGTTGTGGAGGGTGGTGGGAGAGTACAGGCACCTCAGAGTTCCAGAGGACAACACAGTTTCCCCGCCTGTGGTAAGTTGCCCATTTATTTATTTAAAATATTTTTACCCCACCTTTCTCCTTTTAAAAGGTGGCTTACATCATTAAAAGGCAATATTTAGAGCTAAAAGCAGTAAGTATACAAATACTAGAAAGGGCCAAATACCATATTACAACATGATTTTTTTTTAAAAAAAGAACCCACCAAAAACACATTCAAAGTCGTAAAGGCACAAGAGGCAGCCAGTTACAGCCCAAACTAGAGATACAACCACTGTTGGAACACCAGTTTCTCTGTGTTGAAGGAACATACTGGAGAGTTGCCTTTTGATCATTTTAGTTCAAAGGCTGGAAATAATACCAATGGTCATGCCGGATCTGGAGAGGCAAATTCTGGGAGGCATAATTCCAAAAGAGAGAGAGAGGGGGGGGGAGGCTTTTCCAGATTTGGCGATTAGTAGGAGTCACAGGATTCGACTCTTTCCCTCTACCTGCTACTCCTCCTCAGCTTGCTGTACTTTCTTGAAGGACCTGTTCTCATTCTTTGCAGACTGTTAGCTTCAACAGTATGCTTAAAAGGGGATAAAATGTCTGTAGATGGTTAGATAGGTGTGTCTGAAAATGCTGGCATTGATTTATTGGACAACGTGTGAAAGCTTGGATGGCCCATTATCTCTGGCTGTTTGGAAAATAAAAGGGGAAAACATATCTTATATAACACAGTGCAAAGCAGTTTTGCGCATTGTGTTTAAAATACCCACTAGGTTTCAGCAAAAAGCTAATGAATGAGTGAAATCTTACCTGATTATTCTTAAGAAGGCGAGAGGAATTAACACGCAGAGCTATAGAGGGGGATCTATAGAGAGAGATTTTCCTTTGGTACATATGCAACCTAGTGTACTGTACTTCCTTTAGGCTCACATCTCCCCACTTCTTTCTTCTTCTTCTGAGACCTCCCCTCCCTGCCCAGTCTTTAAGCTGTTGGTTCTATTCCTATTCCTTTCTATGATTAATTCTTCCTTGGCTGCTATTTTAGCCCTACGAAGTGTTCTTTTCTCCTGGACCCCTGTACTACCAACATTTTCTCTCTCTCTCTCTCTCCCAGCTGTCCAGAAGCAAAAAAGACAGGGTTCCTGCACTATTAACCTTATGTGTATTGAAGATAATCTTTACTCAACATTTTGTCAAGAACTTAATCTCCCTGTTCAGTTGCAAGTGTAGGAGGTGACAAAATGCAAACATAGCTGCTGTCATTCCCTCTACCATCCTTGATGGAATTCAGGGTGTTTCCAGGATTACTGAAATGCTTTGCAAGGAGGTGCAAATCTCTACATTTCACTCAAATGTCTCTTGGCACTTTGCTCCTGGCCCTGTAGCCGAAGTGGGGCAAATCAGTGCACTGACACCCCCGCCCCCCACAGGTTCTGCTGGTGTTTTTGGTTCTTTTTTTGGGGGGGGGGATATTATCTTCTTACATCTGTGACACAACAGACAGTGGCAGTTTCCCTTTTTTAAAAAAAAAACCAGCTGTTTTTCCATGTCCGTGTGGAGGTTCAAACAAAGGGTTCCTGGGTCCTATTCCATCACTCTGCCCAGTACATCAGTGGTCCCCAACCTTGGGCCTCCAGATGTTCTTGGACTACAACTCCCAGAAGCGTTCACCGCCAGCTCTGCTGGCCAGGATTTCTGGGAGTTGAAGTCCAAGAACATCTGGAGGCCCAAGGTTGGGGACCACTGCAGTACATCACACCAGCTTTCGATCTCAGCATAGGATCTTCAAAAAATGAAAATAAAAATCAGTGACTAAGAAAGCATGAGAAAAATGTACCTGGAACAGCCTCCATAAGCTTGGTCACTCAAAACCTTCCCTGAGTGAGGATGATCACTCTAATTTCTTAAGTACCCCGAGGGATAGAAGAACATCTGGCTAGTGACATAAACCTTGAGGAGCTAAATATTCAAACTTTGCACTATAAGATAGAATTAGACTCCACGCCTTGGACTTCCCTTTGTTTTGCAGTTTCAGTTGTGTTTTCTATCTAGCCACTAATACAGGAGCATATTTGTTTGTCTTCAGTGAGAAACAACAGCTTGTTTATTTTGCAGTTATTATAACGAACAAAGTTTATTGCTGAACAGGGAAGTGAAAAGATAACAAAGTGATCCAGAAAGATACCTATCCTTAGCTACTATTTTTTTTTTCCAAAAAGGGCTCATTATTCTTTCACTACCAACATTTTCTCTCTCCCCTCCTCGTCCTCGTCCTCGTCCTCCTCCTCCTCCTCCTCCTCCTTTTTTTACTTGATGGCAAAGGATGAAAACAGCCCTACAGGTATAGTTCTGCAATACACCCCACAGGTGTGGTGTGGGATCAATCTGAGGCCTTTTCATGGTTCCTGGGTAGAAAAATCAATCAGTAAAAATAAGTGTAATTCAGACCTGGGCAAAGTGCGGCCCAAGGGCCACATACAGCCCGCGAGCCGCTCCAGTCCAGCCCACAGACAGTTTTGAACATCTAAAACACTTATAGCTTTTTGTCTAAAGTTGATCAGTTGCTTACCTTTAACATACCGCAAAAAAACTCTTTAGTATTTGTGAAGATTAGCAAGTTTAAAATAAAAACAATCATAACATCACTGTTTCATTTAATTTTTAAGTAAAGTTGGTTCGGCTCCCAAACACAGTTCAGATTTTTCATGTGGCCCCCTATAGAAATTCATTGATCACCCCTGCCTAACAGGTAGATCCATTCTG